AGGTGGTGTCTATTTACTTGTGACCACGCTGTGTATATGAGAGGATGAGAGTAGTAATTTGTTATGGGTGGAATAAAAGACACAATATATGTTGCTGAAGTCAAATTAAAATAAAACACTTTATCTTGAGGGACAAACTGACGAATGGTTGATCTTTAAACCAATAGTACTATTGCGTTGTCAAGAAGTTAAATATTGTTGGAATTTTGTTCTTTCGTTGGTATTCTCCAGTGGCTCATTGGTATGTGTGAAAAATTACAATGTTAAAACTAGGTTACGATACCCATGGTGGGCATAACACAAATAGCCCATCGTGTAGCTTTGCGTTTAACAACAAATAACATTTGTTGGCGGGTTCTTTTGTTACGACAGCGGAAGTCACGTGACCCTAGTCACACGTCATGATATTCCAGAAGGATCATGTTTGTTCGTGGCAACTCTGGTTTTTTCTATGCGCCCTCTATTTTTGTATATAAGTGCGCCAGATAAAGCGAAATTAATTAATCGGAATAGAATTGCAGACAGACAGAGACGGACAATTGAGTCAAGCGCGGTAGAGACCGTAAGCAACGTGCGTGAATCGTTGTGAATTATAGTATGTGTTGAAGTTAAAGTGACTGTGGAAATTAAGTGTATTGCAAAGTTGTATTGAGAAAGAATAAACTAGTTTTATTTAAGAAAGGACTTGTATCGCTGAAGTTTCCTCGGGAAGAAATTATACGTGAAATTAACAAACGAACACAGACGTAACATTTTCAATTATCTCGTGAAATTAATTCAAAGCCCATTCCACGTACACAATAACAAATTCATTTACTTGTTTCTTAACGTTTATACAAACTTCTTTCACTGTATAGCGTTCACAGTTGTTGGCCAAATTTATAAAATGACGCAAACTGCACTACATTAACGTAAAGAATAAACTTACTTGTACCACTTCACTGATGAAACAACAGCAATAAAACCAACAAAAACATTTGCTAACTAGCTGGAGTACTCGTACCCCAGACGGAAATTATGTAAATTCAAGATTAATAAAAGGTTATCTTAGGACATGAAAAGTTACTTCTCTTATATGTAATTGTAAAAAACGCAAAACGCCCATAAAAACTAC